AAAAAAGTAAAATGGATAGGTGCGTGTAAGATATGGATATGGAATAAATATATTCAACCTATAATATTCGTCAACTGTAATTAGCTTGAATATTATTTTTATGAGATTGTTGTCCGTAATTCGTGACAATTAGATTACTACACCTGTCATGTTTACCTATTTCTTCTATTTCCTTAAACAATTCAATCAATTTAAAGGTTACTTAACATATTGTGTTTATTATTATGCGTGCACGGGGATAATCGACAATATGAGCCAGTGCTAGTTGTGTAATTGTGTTATAGTGGATTTTATTTGTTGCACTAGGTGTAAGTTTTCTGCACTAATCGCATTTGATTTGTTCAGTGTAGCTTCAAATATTTGACTGTATCGCACATGTAGCATATACTTTAGACAAGTATGACAGTTCGAATACAGTGTCGAGTGTAACACTAGTGCAACAAATAAAATGCTTTATTAGTTACGTAGTTTGACCGTATAGAGCTTTGGCATACTGTGGCACATAGTTCCTACCTAAAGAAATATTAGTAATGCATATATTAAGGCTGTATGTTACAAATACTAAATTAAGTACTAAATTTAGAACTAGATTAATGCATTAATTTGCATTACTGCAAATTTAGTATTACATTTAGTACAAAAAAAATTAATTAAGTAATTTTCTACTTAATTTAATACTAAAAATGCATTGAAATGTTGCGCAGAAGTTTTTCGCAGAAAAAGTTGACACAACGGTCTTTTCTGTACCATTTTGTTTTTGGTTAGCGACAACTTTGCATTATCTCTTGGATAAATTTCGCTTGTGTTTGATTTTATAGGTTTTATCAAAGTATATTAACCGTTGAGTAGCGACATAAAGCGTCGGTGCCTTTGATCTTGGGTGATGCAAATTTTCTTTCTCTCTCTTTTGACGTTATTGACGGAACGACACAGTAAAACACTGCTCGAATTATGAACTGGTCTTGAATGTGATGTTTACACTGCTCGGCGTAATTTGAAGTAAAACTCTTTTGTAGTTTACATTTATAATAAAGGTTTGGTCATTAGGCAGTTTTATATTTATAAGTATTTAACTTATGTAGTAAATATAAAAATATATATCACTTATAGCACATGCATTTCCTGGCATAATGAAAAACCCATAAAACCCCAAAAAATCTTAACAAAAATACAATTAAAGAGCACTAATAAATCCACAACAACTAATTCCTATATCAGCTGCCGGACTAAAGTGAAAAGGGTTGTTTACATCTTTAGAAGACGTCTCGCCTCTCTATTTCGCGTCGGCGCACTAGAATTCGGTTTCCCAGCTGTCGCTACTCAACGGTTAATATACTTTGGTTTTATCATTGTTTAAACAAGGGTTTTATTGTTTTTTCGTGGGTTTTAGTAGCATTGCTGTGTTTGCTTGTTGTCAACTAGTATCAAAGTCATAATAAAAAATCTTTAAATTCACTTGTCTCTTTTACACAGAATATTTAATTTCTGTGCTAATTTTACGTAATAATACGTCAATGCGCGTGTGCCTATACTTAATTTATAACTAAAAATTGGTATCGTTACAAAAGGAAAAAAATATTTTTAGTTCTAAATTTAGTACTAAATTAATTACTTAATTTAGGGCTAAATTTTAGTACTTAATTTAGTATTGTGACATACAGCCATTACGCGTTGTAAGGTCGTAAAAGCCAGGAGGGGGGGCAACTGCCCCCCCTGGCCCCCCCTAAACGACGCCCATGAATACATACATTATTTTACTTAAATTAGAAGCGTTAAAAAGACATTGAATTGATTTCTTCTTGTGTTTTCTTTAGTTTTACATTTGATTTTTATCCTGTTTTACAATCTGGAACGATGTAAATCTTACTTTGATGTTTTTGTACTTAGGTACTTTTTTTTCACATTATTTTGATTCTTTTTACCAATTTTTTAAAAAATCACCAGTTTACGTTTGCTTACATAGAAAATTGACACCGCTGTCATTCGATATGCCAACTCACATACTTTGATTTTCTTTTACTATACGGAGAATGGTCGCACTGCGCAGCTTTCTGAGTGCCTTTTAAAAAGAGATAGAAAACTCCGCCATTTTGATCCCTTATTACGTGTTGCCTACATCTTGGCGCATTATTTTTAATAGGTGCGTTTTAATCATCCGCTTCTGCTTCGAAATTGTCAGTTTTCTTGTTTTAATCTGACAGGTTAGAACGACTAAACCGAAAATTCCGGAAGCAGAAGCGGATGATTAAAACGCACCTGATATTTTGCTTGCTGCTGTCAGTGTCAGTGAATATTATTTTTGAAGTCACAGTTTATTGCTAAAGAATCAGTTAGCTCACTCGGACCAGTTGAAAGTTCCAAAATAACATCCATTCCAGGGATACAAATTCAGGATACGCAGAAGACTGCTGTTTTATTATAGGCGGTTATCATATATTGTATTATCCGAGTTGCACAGTGTATAAACTGAAACATTGAGCTCAAAAGTGCCGACGCAGAGTGAGTGATCTGATTTTTTAGCTGTAAACTGTGTCACAGGGTTCAAAATGGCCGCGCCCTATGTTGGGCGTGTCGGACCTCTCTCTTTCCTCGTATAGTAATCAAAGTATGTGTGCCAACTACAGTCAATTTCGCGAACTTTATAAACAGAAGGACGGAAATTTGAAATTTGACCATTGCCGATTCGCTTCCTTCTCTCTAGTCTTCATAATAAGTACTAAAACATTTTTTTCTTTTTGAAGAGTAGGCTTATATCAAATAAATATTATAATGGAAGAAGGCAACCCATTTTTAATAAAATTAAATATTTTTGTTATGATCATAGAAAAATCTTGTGTGCAATTCGAGCAAAAAGTCCTTCGACAGATTGCCTCGCTCCGCTAATTTAAAGAGATGTTTATGTATGAAAAATATATAATCTAAGACATAATAAAGGTAGAGCATTCACAATAGAGAGATATTGCAAATTTCTATAACGCCAGCCACTAATAGTGACAACATAATTAGAGGCAAATAAATTCCATGCTAAAATCAGATTTATTGCAAACCTGAAATTTTGACATTAGAATCCTTGTCCTTATACATATTTCTAACCTCATTTTAATAACTTTAAATTATAGTTCATCTTTTTTTGTTGTCTATAATAGTACATAATATTGAAGAGACATTAGAAATTATAATTTTAGAAGGTTAAATGACGATTATATTAAATATTTAATATTAAAAAAACTTCGAACGGATAGGAATGTCGGCGAGCGCACCCGAAAGCTATAATCCCCACTACCTGGCACCACTACCTGCTGCCCTTAAACATCCGCAATTAAGGACAGGCACAACATTTAATAATGTCAGTTTTAGAACATAAACATCTGCGCATGCTTAGATGTCAAAATAAGAGCGGCACTAAATAGTGACTGACCTTGCAATTTACTTGCAATAATTCTTTACTGACATACATATATATATTTATAAAACGCCATAAAAGTGTGACGTAATTTTAGTTCCACTGACAGTTAATTTTAACCAAACTTTTAAAAATATTTTACATACGTTCTTACTGTTTTTATTTTTTTATGAAATATTGTTTGCAGTTTATAAAAAGTAGTTTAAAGGAAATGTAATTGGTACCTAAATGATTATTTACTTGATGCACGTTATTTACTTACTCTGGAAATATATTTATAATGGTTTAATAATAATATAATTTAGGTAAACAAAACGTAGTTAAAAAAAATTCTGTCATTGTCAGTGGAACCAAAATTACGTCATCACTAATTCAGCGTATTCTCACTGGCTACATGTTGACGTATGGCATTTCTAATGAAAATTAAGAGGTCATAGAGCAAATTATTATTATTATTGTAGGTGCAATAAATACAATTTTTATCGACAATATTTTTTTGTGAAATTTAAGACTTTTTTCTTTTTATAAAATTTTTTGAGACACTATAGAATAAATAAATCTATTCAGTTATATTTTTTTAAAGTCTCTTTTATATTCGTTTTGCGTGAAATGCGCAGAATAAACTGCAGATTAATTAACATTAAATTTATCTTTCCTCTTTGCAACGATTTATCTATTCCTTTCAATACTTTATATGTAATTTGGGTCCCGGCAGGTCGTAGATAAAATACGTAAATTAAAAGCCCCTTTATCGAGAGGTGAATTCGGTCCCAATAGCTCATGACTACCTAGTCCTGAACCTTTCTGTTTCGGCTGAAAGTTCCTGCGCTAGGAAATCATTTAGGTTCAATTGTACCGCTAATAGTTAAAAAATAAACCAGGTTTAAAATGAAATTTTTTTAGAATAAAAGAGTCATTTTAATTTTCGCTTACTAATTTAAACTTCGTTTAACACAACGGTGGAATCGGTTCTAAGAATTCCAAGAATTTCGGTATGTTTGCCAAATTATGAATAATTATCACCAAATTCAATAAAATTTAACAAAGTTGTGAAGTTTTTTCTCATTTTATGTATAACACCCTTTCAATGTGGATTTAAAAATTATTAAAATCATTCAATCAATATTATTATTAATTTACTCAGGGGCACGCTGGGGCTAAACACGACATACATTGCAGGACCGAATTTAACTGTTATTACTGAACGTTCGTTTACGCGGGACCCAATTTACAAGTACTCCTTTCGAATAGTGAAATACCCAAATCGTTGCCATTTGAAAAGTAGTAAATTTATTATTCGTTCCTTCCTTTATAAATTTAGTTGAATGTTTTTGCACGTAGCAATGTCACACATCCTTCTCAGAATGCCGACGTCTAAAACTGTTAATAACTTTATAATAAATAATATATCTAGCAAGACATAAATCGAATTTACCTGGAATATCATAAACATCCCAGTACTTACCTGCGGTTCGGGTAGCATCGAGCGGGAATTATAAATCGGACAATAAATAAATTTGCATTTGATTAAATTTTTCGAGCCTCTCCTTGGCTACGCCATTGGTATGAACCAGCCATTTTATAAAAAAATGCTTTATACATAGTGTAACTTATATTTTGGTTAATTTATAAAGTTGTATGTACATCTATAAAATAATTTAACAAGTTATCATTTTCTCATCATTTCAATCACTCTGAATCATATTCGTGTGTACCATAACCGATATTATTAGGTCCCTTTCTAGCATCTTCGTTTCTCTTCGAAGCTTCAGCTTCGGCCGCTAACCTAGCATGCTCGGCAGCTATTTTCTCAAACAAAATTAGATGTTTACTTTTGGCGTACCGTACAGCGGCCGTATCGGCCGGTACGATAACCCGATTCGGTGCTGCTTGATGTTGGTGAGCGATAGCAGTATATTTTAGAAGGTGATTTGCTTTGGCGGCTGCTACTACGGGTGTGTCGGAGGGTAGATCGGGAACGTGATCGTTTGAAATTGGATGAAAGCCGTTTTTGTCTGCTATGTAGTCCACAGTTCGAATATTGTGCCTCGGATCTATGTAGGAATATGAACCTGAAAAATACCAACAAATATATGGTGTTTCATAATTATACTACCAAGCTTTTAGAGGTGGTTATTGGATAAAAAAATATTTTTTTTGCATAATAAACATATGTCCGAAAGCATTTCATTACCAAAATAAACGGAATTTAATACAAAAATAATAACGCCCAATAAGTTTTCAATTTGCATAGTTGTTTTGAATAAAGAACCTAAAAATACAACTTTTTGTTAGGTGATTTTTTTTTATATCGTTTAGTTTTCGAGAAAAAAATTTAAATAAAAACTTTTGCACGTCTCTGTAGCAACTAAAAATACATCTCATAAGGAAAAGAAAGCTATATTTTAAAGTTATATTTTATAGTTGCTTTAGCAAAACAAAAAATAATTCTACACGGTGTTTTGTTTTCAGCAAAAAATAATAGGGTTGCTCCATGGGCACGCTTATGGAAATTTTGGATACACGATAGTAGGTGCAAAAGATATCAACGAACTGTGAAAATATCAATGAAAGACATTAATTTTTAACATCGATTTTTTAACTTTAACTCGGAAACGAAGAGTTTTCAGACATTTATGTTTATTTGGAAAAATAAAATTATTTTGATGTATTCTCTAAAAGTTTACAATATTCGGAATAAGGCCCAAACAAAATTTTGTGTTATCACAAATGTCGCAAATAAATAAATTTCATACGGTAACGCCGATGCCTAAGACACAGATGAACAATATTGATGTTAACTGTTATTTAACTAATGGACCTCTTTAATTGCTACTTAAATTCCAAATTATTTGCACCGAAACATTTTCTCAAACCCTTTACTAAACGGTTCTTTGTCTATATTACAATTTGACACTTAAAGACGTTGACATTTGACCTGTCAACGTCTTTAAGGGTAAGTTCGGTTTGGAACTCGACGGATCGGACAGAGCGCGCACGGAGTGCGTGACGTCATCGACAGAGTTCGTTCTTTTTACAATCTCAAGACTATGGCTCAAGACGAACACAACGGGAATGACAAATGACACTAGTGATAGTTTGCACTTGAATACACTTTTGTGTGTGTGTGTGTGTGTGAATGGACTGTAAAAAATTCATTTTAGTCAAATAGGAAATAGTTATAACAAAAACAAACAAGAAATAATAAGTGTAAACTGATTAATCATCACTGAATTATATATTAAACTGGAAGACCAAAGCCGATCAACAAAATCAAGCCGCATAGCGAGGTGATATTTGACACTTCGGCGCCAACATGTGCGTATCGAAATGTACTAAAAAGGATCATCAAAATTAAATTTAACACTTATTACATTCAACTAGACAACTTTTAATTTAAGAAAATCACTTAAAAATGATTTTTGATTAATACGCAGCTGAAACAAATGTTCCAATAATAATTATTATTAAAATAGGGCGTTATTAATAAAAAATAATATAATTTATCATAGTACGCCCGTGAAAAATGTGACGTAGAATGCTTAAAATTGACAGTCTGGCGCACAAATTGTCATGCGCACCGACCGTTTTTTTCACCCATGTCGGCTGAGAAATTAGGAGTAGGGTTTATGTCATATAGCCATCCAGTTTAATATCAAGGTCGGTGTTAATCATAGATTAGAATATTGACGTTTGACATTTTTGACACATTCCTACAGATACCCGTTGATCTCCATCGGCCAACTCGGGGAAGAGTGAGCGCGCTCTGAGTAAGTGATCTGTGGCAAGCCGAACACAAAAGAGTCCGCTCTGAGTTCCAAAACGACCACAATTGAGGCATACCGAGTGCACTCTAAGTACAGCGAACGCCAAACCGAACTCAGCCTAAGTGTCGCTTGCACATACTTTGCTACTATACGGGGCAAGAGAGAGGTCCGACATGCCCAACATAGGGCGAGGCCATTTTGAACCCTATGACACAGTTTATAACTAAAGAATCAGATCGCTCACTCTGCGTCGGCACTTTTGATGTCAATGTTCCAGTTTATACACTGCGCAACTCGGATAATACAATATATGACAACCGCCTATAATAAAACAGCAGTCTTCTGCGTATCCTGGATTTGTATCCCTGGAGTGGATGTTATTTTGAACTGATTCTTTAGCAATAAACTGTGACTCCAAAAATAATATTCACTGACACTGACAGCAGCAAGCAAAATATCAGGTGCGTTTTAATCATCCGCTTCTGCTTCCGGAATTCTCGGTTTAGTCGTTTTAACCTGTCAGATTAAAACAAGAAAACCGACAATTCTGAAGCAGAAGCGGATGATTAAAACGCACCTATTAAAAATATTGCGCCAAGATGTAGGCAACACGTAATAAGGGTTCAAAATGGCGGAGTTTTATATCTCCTTTTAAAAGGCACTCAGAAAGCTGCGCAGTGCGACCATTCTCCGTATAGTAAAAGAAAATCAAAGTATGTGGTCGCTTGTTACCACTGTCACATGGAAACAGTTGGTCAAATAATAAAAATGAATGTATAAACCAATTTAAATTTTAAAATATTATTAATAGTAAATAATAATAATGATTTAGCAAGTTGTGACTCTCCAGAAATATTTATATTTTGGAGTAAGGATGACAAAGAACTTGGTGGATATGCTTGTTTGTGGACAGTAGGCAAACTTTTTTACAATTATAATATAAATATAGGGAAAAAACCTTCAGTTTTTTTGGCGTTTTGCCTTTAACCTTTTTCATATTAACTATTTTATTCTAAATTTAAATTTCAATATATTTTCCACAGTCATCCTTTATTTGTAAATTTTTTAAATTTTTTAATTAATTTGTTATAATTTGGTATAATTCCTTAGTTCCACACAAGCTAACTTGCTTCTGGAGATCAGATATGATTTTTTAGGGGCTTATACCACACTCACTATTCCCAACACTGGATTATGTCGCTCTGTTTGTTCTCTATTAATTGCTAAATTGTTCAAAATTACCTTATTTTTTTACTTTTGACTCAGATTTTATTTTTACACGCATATTTATAGATTGTACGTTTACAGCCACAATTTTTGTAGATAAGCACTGATGATGGCACCATGCCGAAAGCGCTTTGCATTTAATAATTAAAAATTTTGCACGAAATGAAAGTCTTTCCTTTTTAATTAAAACATTATACTAACAAGAAAACGTAACTATTATTTATTAGATAATACAACTAAACCCTGATAAATTAGTCGGATATATTTTAAATTTGTTACAAAAAATATTTCTCTTGTTTTGTTGTTATTGTTGTTGGTTGTTGTTGTTGTTGTTTGTTGTTGTTTGTTGTTGTTTGTTGTTATTGTTGTTGTTATTGTTGTTGTTGTTTTTGTTGTTTTTCAAAATGGAAAAAATCGGGACATATGTTAAATCAAGACTAGTGGTTCAAAATCGGGACTGTCCCTCCTAAATCGGGACGGATGGTCAATTTATATAAAAATATATTAGAAAATTTCTTCTAAAAAAGTCAACTTCGGACATATATTCATAGCACATAATTGCTTCTCAAGAAAAATGCGTCTAGGATATCCCATATCTACAAAAGCAAGGACTTCTAAGCTGTGATCTTCTCGAAAATCCTCCAGGAGTTCCTCTTCAAATTTTTTTCATTTCAATAAGCCACAAATCTTTAAGCACTATATTTTTACAACATTAAAACCAAATATTTCCGAATATTTGATGTTAAAGAACAATTAAACATGTTTAAGAAAAGGAATTTGGCCAGTTAGCTAATGCTGCTTTAATGGATACTTTAAGAGTCTCTTAAAGTTGGTGCAACACACAAAAACCGCTAATGATACTTTAAAGGACAGTTAGCCTAATTGTTACTTATAAAAAATCAGTGCAAACGGGCGTTAGTTTTCTCAAAATACCTCTATCTGAAGGTGAGAGATTTCTATGCCTTCTAGTGCCGACCGTTAGTTTCCTTTCTGTATTGTTCACCTATTCTGTGGCTGAGCTAAATCCTCAAAACAGCTGAATATTAGACTGATGATAACATACTACTTAAATAATCAGCCACCACCCATGGAATCCATTTAAATAATTTTCCATTTTAGTTTCGCATGCGTAGCTCTCATAGTAAGGTTATTGTATTTGATAGAGACTTTGGATGAGATTACAGAACGTCTGCAACTTTGCAGATCTGCAAATATGGCGGACTTACAGATGCAAGATGCAAGTATCAAGTTTTCGTATTCCAAAAATATCTGCAAATTCGCAATATTTATTGTGGTTTATTACCCCCCAACAACCCTAAAATCAAATCCATTATTATGACAATTGACAATCTGCAAGTTTGTAGGATGATTTGCAGACGCAAAAAGTGAAAACACGTTTCTGTAATACCATGTTTCTCTTTTGTAACTGCAACTGATATTTGCAGATGCAAGTACGATTTGCAGAGCTTCTGTAATATCGCCCTTTTTGGCCATATTAACAAATTAAATATTTTATTTTAAATTAAATTTTAGTTAATATTTTTTTTTTGATCATTTAAGAAATCGATAGAAAATCATGAAAATAATGTCACTTTACCAAGATTAAAATAATTCAAAAATAAGCAGTTCTTGAAATATCGCCTAATTTTATAGGACATTCATTATAATGACGTTCCTATGTTTAAGGTTTTACACTTGGATACAGTTAAGGATGCTTTGTAAATTGAGGCTAGTAAACATAAAAAATTCACCTTAACGTAATTAAGTGGTGTTTTATAATCTCTAATAAAATCGACGTTTACAATATACAGTACGTTAACCGATACATCAGGCAAAATAAAGATAAGACGCTTAATTATATTTGGACGTGAGGGCGATAAGGAGAGTAGGTAATTGGTTTAACCACCCTCTTTCGATATCAAACATGGAATATTGCGGTCTGCACTCGGCGATATATTATTCTATTTATCTCTATTCAATAGCACTGTGTTTCTATACCGTTCTCCTGCAGTCAAGATTGGAAAGTTAAGATATTGTAAATTATGATAAATATAAGTGAGTGGAAAAGACAATACTTA